CATCGTCCTGAAAAGGGGTTAAAAACCGTTTGTATAGCACCTCGTTGTACCGGTGAATGCTCACCATGCCCAACATTTGTTTCGTGAATTGCCTGAGCTAAAAAAATTATCCATTCTTCTTTGAAGCAATGGATTCGGATATGGAGTACGTCTACAAGCACAATGTTTAGTCTTCTCACAAGGAGGACTACACGGATGAGACGGCGATGATGCAGGCGGTACTTGCAGACGCGGAGTGTGCGGAAGAGCATGTTCTCAATTTTAAGGGATCGATTAAGGGTCATCGAGTGCTCAATCGCAATTGGGCGCGGCCGACGCCGATCGATGATTACTTTTCCCCCAATGCCCTCTTCGCTGACAATTTTCGTCGGCGCTTTCAGATGCGCAAAAATTTCTTCGATCGTCTCTACCATGGCATCTGGTCCTTTGATGAGTATTTCATCTTGAAGAAGGACGCCATGGGAAGGATTGGTTTCTCTAGTTACCAGAAGTGCACGGCTGCATTGCGGATGCTTGCATATGGCCCGACCATTGATTTGTGGGACGAGTACCTGCGGATGTCCGAGAGGACATGCGAACTGGCGTGGTAAGGTTTGCAACTGGCGTGGTCTCGGTGTTTGGGCCACAGTACCTGGAACCAACTGTGGCAGACACCGAGAGGCTCTTGGCAATCTCAGAAGCAAGAGGGTGGTCAGGTTTGCTCGAATCACTTGATTACATGCATTGGAAATGGAAGAACTGTCCAAAAGCTTTGCAAGGGGAATATCAAGGTCATGTTAAGAAGCCCATCATCATTCTTGAAGCAGTTGCATCACAAAATCTTTGGATTTGGCATGCCTGAGTCTCACAATGACATCAATGTGTTGCAGCGATCACCATTGTTTGTTGGGCTGGCTGAAGGAAAAAACTGCTCCTTCCCACTATAATGTCAATGCGCATAAGTACAACATGAGCTACTATCTGATTGACGGTATTTATCCTCCTTGAGCTACCTTTGGGAACATCATCTCTAACCCAATTGGTCAGAAAAAGTCTCACTTTGCGCAAAGACAAGAAGCAGCTAGAAAGAATGTCTAGAATTTGGAGTAATGGGATGTGTAGACCTTGATCAAGGTGATGACATGGTGTGTGGTCATGCACAATATAATCGTGGAGGATGAGGGTGAGAATGTTGTGGCGGGTTTTGGATTTAGGAACGTGAGTGATCCTATCAGACCAACTCACGAACAACTAAAAGAAGATCTATTGAGCATCAATGGACAGTTAAGAGAGACAAAATATTGAAGTTTAATATTTAAACATTTTAAATTAGAACTACGCTCCATTTAAGCATTTGAACTCCGCAGGAGCAAATTTGCGGTGAGCGTTGGAGACGCGTGACACAACATGAGCTAGGACACAAGCCAACTACTCCTCGTGAAGCACCAGTGACCTCGCTACCTGCCACCTATTCCTTTCCTGGGTATACGACAACGCTGACGAGTGATGCAACTCTCTCGAACAATGGAACGACGACACCGAAGCATCCACGACTCTCCACTTCCAAGTTAACCAGTCAAAATCAATCCACTAGTCAAACTAAGAAACCGGATTATATCACCTGAGTGGCTGAGCGCAAAATCAAACAAGAAAGCACTACACAAGTCTCTTTGAACTCTGAAGGCTCCCTCTGCACTCTACAATGGCAGGAGGAGGAGAAGGAGGCGAACTGCAGCTGTTGGGCGCGTGGTTAAGCCCCTGGGTGATCCGCGTGAAGGTGGCGCTGCAGATGAAGGGCCTCAGCTACGAGTACATCGAGGAGAACCTGCAGCACAAGGGCGAGCTCCTGCTCAGCTCCAACCCTGTGCACAAGAAGGTCCCCGTGCTGATCCACGCCGGCCGGCCGGTGTGCGAGTCGCTCGTCGTCCTCGAGTACGTCGACGAGGCCTGGGCCGGGGCCGGGACGCCCCTCCTCCCCGCCGACCCCTACGACCGCGCCGTCGCCCGCCTCTGGGCCACCTACGTCAACGACACGGTACAAACACCCTCTGCTCTGTTTGTTCATCGTAGCTCGAGTTTCGTACCGTAAAATCAGCAGACAGACATCGGTTGGTTTTACGACTTGCTGAATCTGTGTGGTGCGCTTGCTGTTCTTCCCGTCGTGGAGGCCGCTGTTCAGGGCGACGACGGCGGAGCAGAGAGCGGAGGCGTTCGAAAACGTGCTGCCTCAGGTGGAGACGCTGGAGCGGGCTCTCGCGGAGTGCTCCAAGGGGAAGGCCTTCTTCGGTGGCGACGCCGTCGGAATAGTCGACCTTGTTGAAATTCCGCTCACAGGATCAATCACATCAAATTACGACGAAGACGCATACAAGATAATTAATAGCTAAGGGCTCTTATCGTGCCCTTTGTTTCTTCTCTCTTTATTCTATGTTTTCTCCGTGTTACAAAACTCACAGCCAAGTGCATATATATATATATATATATATATGCACAGCAGCCACCGACCCAACACAGACCTAATCCTATACGTATTAGATGTCCTAATACAATTCGGACACTCACGCGTGTACTACCGGCTAACCTAGTACAAATGACTAGGACTCCTAATAGTACTACCAGTATGCATTCGAGCCGGAGGAAAAAAATTATATGAGACCAGGTCTCATATAAATCAGACTATTACTTTGTGATTCTCCTAATCTAATTGACTACTAATCAGTACTAGCATCTCTAATCAAAATTACTCTAACAATCTCTCCCTAATCCTGACACACTTTGTCTTTCGTGCTTCTTCGGTCTTGACTTGTTGATGATTCACTTTTTTCGACTCATCCGCTTGCACCATGACAAGTCAAATTGCCGGCTAGATCATTTGCAACAATCTCCCCTCCAATTTTGACTTGGCGAATTTACGGACCACCTCAAATATATCTTGGACTATCCAGCCTCGCTAGTAACCTGTGGAAAACACCACCCGCTGGACTTCACCATCCACCCTAGCAAGATACATGCCGGCTCCTTGTGGATCACACCACCCTGTGCACTACACCATGCACTCCAGCCTCATTTAGAGACATGGCCTCATTGAAGAGACTCACCTTCACTGGTTTACCGCCCCCACATATTTGAACTTGATCCTCTCGTCGAGACACATAGGCGACCTGGACATGCTTCATCTTCAACGCCTCCTCACAGAGACGAGCACTTGGACATGACGACGCTGACACGACGACGACTTACCGACTGATCGTGCTAACCCGCACAACTCCTTGACTCTAACTTCCATGGATGACCATCTTGACGACTTTCAGGCACTGCATCACCGCACCACCGCTCCCGTCAACGATCTCCATCCGCCGCCTTGCCGACGATAGCCCGCCGTCTCCCTCCTTGTCGCTCCGCCGAACGACGATCGCCAGATCCCTCCTCGTCCCTGCATCACCCAACAACATCATGGCACGCTCTTCATCGTCGCTGCACCACCCAACGACCATATCGCCCGCCCCGAGGCGCTAGTCGGGTCGCGACCCCGGGGCAAGCACACCTTCAAATGGACCTTGCTTTAGATGCCAAGTGTTGGAATTCTACCCACAGGATCGATCACATCAAATTACGACGGAGACACACACAAGATAATTGATAGCTAAGGGCTCTTGTCGTGCCCTTTGTTTCTCCTCTCTTTATTCTATGTTTTCTCCATGTTACAAAATTCACAGCCAAGTGCATATATATATGCACAGCAGCCACCGACCCAACGCAGACCTAATCCTATACGTACTAGATGTCCTAATACAATTCGGACACTCACGCGTATACTACCAGCTAACCTAGTACAAACGACTAGGACTCCTAATAGTACTACCAATATGCATCCGAGCCGGACTATTACTTTGTGATTCTCCTAATCTAATTGACTACTAATCAGTACTAGCATCTTTAATCAAGATTACTCTAACAATCTCTTTCTAATCTTGACACACTTTGTCTTCCGTGCTTCTTCGGTCTTGGCTTGTTGATGATTCATCTTTTTTTGACTCATCCGTTCGCACCACGACAAGTCAAATTGCCGGCTAGATCATTTGCAACAATTTACGACTTGCTGAATCTGTGTGGTGCGCTTGCAGTTCTTCCCGTCGTGGAGGCCGATGTTCAGGGCGACGACGGCGGAGCAGAGAGCGGAGGCGTTCGAGAACGTGCTGCCTCAGGTGGAGACGCTGGAGCGGGCTCTCACGGAGTGCTCCAAGGGGAAGGCCTTCTTCGGCGGCGACGCCGTCGGGATCGTCGACCTCGCGCTCGGAAGCTTCGTGGTGTGGATCCGGGCGGTGGACGAATTGGGCGGCACCAACCTGCTGGACGAGGCCAGGGTCCCGGGCCTGGCGGCGTGGGCCGAGCGGTTCATGGCCGTAGACGCCGTGGAGGAGGTGATGCCCGAGGCCGGGAGGATCATGGAGCACTACAAAGGGTTTCTCGCGAAACTGGCTGCACCTGCTGGTTCTAGCTAATTGCGATGCTCGCCTACTTTTTCGTCAGTGATATGTGAGAAATATTTAAGCTCTGCTTGGAAGTGTGCGTGTTGAATAAAGAGAGCAAAATGTGAGGCATTGTCAGTGTGTTCAGATGTAATTGTGTTCAATAAAGAGATTGAAGTGGAACAATTCAGTGGGATAGCACGTTGATGACATGATTTATTTATTTACTAGCAAACATGCCTGTGCGTGCACTGGGAGAATCAAAACACACTTCCCTGGCCCAATGACCCAAGACAACATTCTGTTGCATCAGCCATGTAATATATATTTTACCAATGGTCTTAAAATGCATGTATGAAATGCTACACTTCAATCATGAAAGAATTGATTAATTTAAATATCTAAATTACCTTCCTAGTTAATTTGCAGTATAAGGAGTCATTACCTTCATCATTTGATTTATCATTGAGAGCCTAAATCATGAGGATCGTACATGTATGTACATATATAAGAAATTAAGGTTTAATTGGTAAGTTACCAGATGCCCATTACTGATTTTCGTTACCAAGTTTCTTCTAAACATACATGCACGGAGACCTATAAAGTCTAAAGTACAACTCAATTATCTTTCATATAGAAGGAAACATAATAAACGGATTTGCACATATCACACTAAAACGAATTTTTTATTTGAAGAGGTCACAATAATTTTCATGAAATCGGGTGTATGATTCGGAATTTGTTTTTTAACCATGCATGCTTCAGATTCCACGAAAAGGCATTATTCCCCATGCGTTGAAACGAAAAAAAATCATCCATCATACACACACCTGACAGCATCGGCGAATCCCTTAAAATCTTTCACAATGCCACACGAGAAACAACATGATAAGTGGTGTCGCGCAAAGTTCAAAAGGTTGTATTATTTGTGAAATGTACTCAACATGTTTCCAATTTATTAGACAACAGAAATATCAACGTTAAGACGGGATTTTCAAAATACCCCATATAAAGAAGATATTAATAAAGGTTGCATCATAAATGGAATTTTAGGAATGATGATTAATATAATAGCATATTTCAAATCTACACATCCTTTTAAAGGGATTTCCATATATAACATGTTAGAGTTGGAGTTAGGATTTGAAAGTGATTAATATAATACCATATTTAAAATCTACACATCTTTTTAAGGGATTTCTATATATAACATGTTAGATTTGAAGTTAGGGTTTGAAAGTTATGAGTTTTTTTTACATTGAAGTGATTAATATATAATACCATATTTGAAATCTATACATCTTTTTAAGGGATTTGTATATATAACATGTTAGATTTGGAGTTAGGGTTTGAAAGTTATGAGTTTTTTTGAAATATTTGAATATGTACAAAAATAGAAAGAATGAAAATAGAGTAACTCGTACATTGTGCAGCCCATCTGCTAAGTGACGCTGGGGCGAGTAGTAATATCCTACGCCTACCAACATTAATAGGAGAGAAAAAGAAGAAAAGAGAGAAAGGGGAATCGAACCTAGGTCTCCCAGGTCGAGAGGTGAGGCTCACACCACTATGCCAACCACCCGCACATTATTGAGTACCAGGGCTTAATTTTAATAACCGAGCCCGTCGCGGATTTTAGAAGGGGCAAACTGAACCGTTTTTTCACTTACCAATGGCATGGTGGGTAATTCTTTACAACCTCAGGGGTAGTTTTAATGACGCACGACAAAAACCCAATTCTCTTTATTGTTAGGTAAAGATTGAGGGGAGATGATGGCATGATTTATCCCCGGTAATTTCAGTGTTGCCCAGTCTCCGTCGACTAAGAGCAACTCTAGCAGACCCCGCATTCCGCCCCGACCCGGAAAATAACCGCCAAAATGCGGGTCAAGGCCGAAAAACCTGCCCGATCAGACCCCGCATCCCGCCCTGGCCCGCAAAAAATTTTAGGGGGCGCGGCAAAATCTTAGCCCCAACCCGCGAATAAGCAGCTTTCCCCGTTGCGGCCGCGGTGCCCTGCATCACAGAGAAGTGAGTTAATTACACGATAGTACCATAATTGGGGCGGTGGTGGCGAATTGGTACCACTTTTGAAAAATTTTACATGTCAGTACCACGTTTGGGTCGAACCGTTGCAAATCAGGCTAAACTTCGTATTTCTACTACGTATTGATGCTGGAACTGACCGCCCGGGCCCGCGCGTCAGCTGCCACGCTGGCGAATCGGCACCCGCCCGCTCACTCGATAGGTGCAGTCTGGCTCGAACCGGACCGGCCCGTGCTCTGTCTCCACTCTCTTCCTCCTCGCTCGTGGCTCCCTCCTCTCTCGCCGCCCTCGTCGCCGCTCGCAGCATTGCCGGACCGGACCGCCGCCGCCCGCCATGGTTTTCAAAGACGAAAGCAGTGAGGACACGTCCAGCCCGCCGTACATGCACTCGACCTCATCCACGGACGGGCTTAACCAGGTGATTTTCCTTGAGCTAGGGTTAGGGTTAGGGTTTTAGATTTGGGGCTTTTTGATCTGGTTGATTTCGCTAGGTTTTGATTTGGGCATTCTGTTTGTACGAGCTTCGGCAGGTCCCTTTCAGCGTTGAAGATCCAGATTACCTGGGGCTTGAGCTGGAAATGAAGTCGCCACGTGAGAAGCACAACAAGGCATCTGAGAGGCTTGTCGCATTTGAAGGAACATACACAGGGAGAAGGTTCTTAGCATGTGCAGAGCCGGTATGAATTGTATGCTGATAGTGGGATATTATATTTAGGTTGATAGTGTCATATTATTGTTGGTTTGACAGTGCCATATTGAACATGAGTACAAGGCCTAATTATTAAGGGCATATTCACTTTTGCAACAACAGTAGCTTGTCTAGTTTAATGACAGTGGTACTGTTATTTTGCAGTGGCATCGTTCTTGCTATCATGTGAAATATTCAGTTTGGGACTTCTACAGGTTTTATGTTGCTGTTGTGGCATTTTTATGTAGTTGAATGACAGTGCTACTGTTAATTATGTTGCTGTTACTTTTGCTCCTGTTTGGAACTAAATATTGAGTGATCTGTTACTTTTATGTTGGGATGCTCCTGTTTGGAACTAAATATTGAGTGAACTGTTACTTTTATGTTGGGATGGACCTGCTGTTATGTATCTAAATGCTACAAATATTCAGTTGAATGGATAGTATGTACTGCATATGCTTTGGCAGTTCACCAAGTTTGCAGTTTGAGATTGCTCTTGTTTTGTTGTTGATTAGCAAAATCTAGTTCAATTCTGTAGCTGAGTGGTGCTGTAATATTCCATGATGTTATTTAGTGGGTAGGTACATCTCAATTACCAGTGTAGCTTAGTGGTGCTATTATTACCAATGTACAGTGCTATTGCTTTGCACTAGTTATTTACCTGTGGTATGAACTAACTTGTTTATTTTTTTATCTTTTTGCTCTTTTTGCAGGAAGGGCGGAATCGTGGGTTTGTTGAATGGGTTGATCACCAGTGGCCCCCAACAATGCAAAATGCATTGTTGAAGCTGTGGGCAATGGTTGAAGATAGCAAGAGTGCTAGGGTGAATGATAATCTTGAAAATTCTTTCACTATCCACCATCTGACAGAAGAGAAGAACAAGTTGGAGGCCAACTATGACAAGTTAGTCCAAGATGTGCATGAGCTTATGAGCTTCCAGGAGGAGAGGGTGGTGGATTTCAGATATCTGCAGTCTAACATTACATATCGGCAGTAATGCAGAAGTGAACTGGTGGCTGATATGAAGGCACAAATGGAAAAGAAAGATGCAGAGTCTGAGAAGCTTAAGCAGAATTATGAAGTGCTACTTAACCTGACAAGAGCTCAAGCAACAGTCATCCAAAACTTGAAGTTGAAGCATATTACAGACAAGCAATTGCTTAGTGAAGCTAAGATGAACTTGGAGTTCAAGAATGCAGAGCTCACAAAGTCTGAGGAGAAGCTCACCCAAGATAAGCTAGAGTTGAAGTTTCAGGTTGCTGATTTGCTTAAGGGAAAGTAAAAGCATGGTGAAGAGAAGGGGCAGCTAGAGCTTCAGATTGCTGAGCTGATGAAGGCAGAGGAGACGCTGAAGGAGAAGATCAAGGGGATCCAGGCCATCTTAGAGAAGTGAAGAAAATGAATATGAGACTAGTGGGCAATGCTGACCTTTTGGGCATGATGGTTGTGTAGTGTATGGCTCTACTAATTGTGAATTATGGTTGTGTATGTATGTAGTAGATATGCTTTTCATCCTTTTGTGAGAAAAGGATGAACTATGCATCTAAACTCAAACTCCACTATGTATTGTGAACAATGGTTGTGTACCCTATAATATGTTGAACTCCAGTAAGTATTGTGTGTTATGTTTGCTAGACTTGAAATGATGATATATATCATGCATTGGAAGATGGATCAGATATTATGTGCCATGATAGGTAGACTAAAAGTTATGATTTCTCATGCACTAGGTTTTACATTCCATGATTATGTTAGCATTGGAAGACTATTTAAGGGTTATGTTAGCACTGGAATATTAGATGGTTATGTTATATCATGCATTGGAAGCCTATGTTTAGGTGCTTTCGTCGACCCCGAGGCACCATAAACCCTAATGGTTAGGTTTAGGTGGTTTCGTCGACCCCTAGCCACCATAAACACTAATGCTTAGGTTAAGGTGGTTTCCTCGACCCCTAGCCACCATAAACACTAATGCTTAGGTTAAGGTGGTTTCGTCGACCCCTAGCCACCATAAACACTAATGCTTAGGTTAAGGTGGTCTCGTCGACCCCTAGCCACCATAAACACTAATGCTTAGGTTCAGGTGGTTTCATCGACCCCTAGCCACCATAAAC